TATATATATATATATATATATATATATATATACATATGTCGGAGATGAGAAGACGTCGGGGCCTCTTTCTTTTGGAATTTTTGGGAAGATCCGCAATACTTTAGACTAGACTATTTATTATAGCTGTACTTAAATAATAAAACTTAGAAGTAGTTGTTTATGATTCAATCCGATTATGTTTGCCCGAGATTTGTGACGGTGGGCTTTGGCTCGAGGTGACACAATTGGTCGCTAAACGTAGCCACGGTTACGGGATGGACGTTTTTACCTAACAGAGGTATGGAATAGTTGTATAACTCTCCTTAAAAATATAGTTGACCCGAGGGGTACAGAAAGGTACAGAGAAGCCAGTAAGTTGAGTTCTATTTGTACTGTGGACAAATAAGTTTAGTTACACTTGAATTGCGGACACGTAAGTTCAGTTTGACTTAGACTTTGGAATTCGTTATTGAACCTAAGATCATTGTCATTAGCATCTTGAGTATCTAATCGCCACGGTTACTTGTCAAATTCTGTAATAATCATATTTGTACCAGTAAATATCATTTATATTGTATAACAACAATGGCTAATTCAAATGAAAATTCGTTACACGCCCCTAACCATAACGAGAACTCGACATATATATCATATAAATGACTTAAATATACGTACTTCTGCTTAAGGTATTCCTTTAAACCCTCGTGGAAAACGTTTTCTGTTAAGATGTGTGACATCATTCGAATAACTGACCCCGCTGCAAAGACATGGATATACATTAGAGATTGGTTTTTAATAATTCATGATTATTATTCAATAGTGATTATTTATGTTTATTATTCATTATTCAAAACATGCAGATGTAAACAATATCTAGATTCAAGGATCAAATGATATACATCTGTATATGCATCTAATTTGTCTTTTTTATTTTTAGTTTTGTTAATTGCATTGTTATTAAGGATTGCAAAAGAGAAATAGTAAAAATTCTTTTCAATTTAAGCATTTCTCATGTTAAGAAATGCTTCACCAAATGAGTCGCGTACGTTTCATATGTTTTATTTAAAAATTTTGAATAAATTCACCAATAAAAGATATACAATTTGACCCTTCACTGTTCCATCATATGCAAATATGTATATTACGCAGACCATTGTCGACTTATACCATTCTTTTTTAAATTACACGATAATCTTCTAACTACAAGGAGCAATGTAAGGTAGCAAATTATATTTATAATAATATTTTAGTCTTTGAATAAATATCCTTGTTCTCAAATTCGATTACACTTCTTGGAAAGCAAAAATGATAATGGTAAAAATCTTTTATAATAATTATATTTTTTAGATTTTATAATATCAATATATTGCAATAAAGCAGTAGGTACGATTCTTTTCCAGTTAACTCTATATGCGATGTGTGCAACAAATTTTTAACTTATAAATACTATTAACAAATAACGCATTTTGACCATTAATGATTTTTCCAATATATTTATTTTTTCTAATGCTTTGAAACTGGAAGATCCAGCGATTGTGATGTTCATCTTTACAATAACGTCTTGAGCTTGGAAAATTATTTCCATTAGATTAGAGAAAATGTTGTCATAAGGACAGAGAGATAGTCAATAAATTAATCTACAATCCTCAAGAAATTCTACATCTAAAGTCCATTTTTCCATTAAAAAGCTAGCTTGCTATTTACAATGTTACATTATTATATTACTGTTAGATTGCTGTTTTTAAATATTCTATTAGTATTACATTTTCATAAAACACTTTTCGAATTTATCATCAAAATAATTTATTTAATGCAATACAATAAAACTACTTTTTCCAATTTTGATGTAGACAAGTTAAGTACTTATTTTTTTTAAATATTTCTCATATTTTTATTGACAAAATATTAATTTGTTTCAATGATCTGTGCTATATAGGTTGTTATTCTTCTCTTTGAATGTTTATTCTTCATAGAAATTGTTAATATTAATAATTAATCAATTAATTGTCATACTAGTAATATATTCAAGAAATATAATCAACGCTATTCTAATGTATCTTCACTAGCACTCAAAAATATCCTGCAATTTAATTAGAGTATCACAATTAATAATTATGTGTTAATAAATAATGACGACATTCTGTATTAGTATTATATTATTATGACAGGAAAGCTACTTATAAATAACTAATAGATATGCAATCAACTAATTTGATTTGTAGAGTGAAACCGGTTATGATACAATGTTTCAACAAAATTTTAACCAAGACATTATGGAGAGTTTATTTATCCTCAAACTATGTACATATGTAAATGTAGTCTGTAGTCCGTAGCTGTAGTCGTAAATGAAATAGAAAAGATTTTTCATACAATATAGTTGAATGAATTGAAGCTTATAATATAATTTATTCAAGCTATAGTTATTCGAATCTAATAGTTCTTATCTTATTTCAAATTTTATGATACTGTAGTATCGTGGACGAAAGGCCTAAGAGATATCTGGCGAACTATAATATATGTTACGACGCATGGAGCATCTGCATCCTAGCCGACGTTACCTGGCAGCCAGCGGCCGACCTACCTTCTTCCCGACCCTCAATAAACTCGAGGACCTACCATAAATAATCAACTTCTAGCTTAATTGTTTCCATATGTTGCCAAGCAATCTATTTGTCTAGAAGTATTTTCGGTTTATGTCCGGATTTAGGAAAAGTCCTTGATTTTATTAGGCTCTTAAAAATCATGGAAAAAGCAGGTAGGCTGGGAAAACCCAACACATGTCCACCGAAAACGACTGGTTTTTCCCAGAAATGAAATCACCCCCGACCCACGTTGGTGGGAGACTTCCTCGTCTCCTTCTGCATTCGCATGGGTCATACCCAATCGGCATCGCGGACGTTTACCCTCACTTCATTGACGAAAGGTGTGAATAACGAATCCGCGTTCTTCGTTCAAGGGACACACCCATCCTTAGCTTTCCTCCGACACAGCATCGTCACCGAACAGGACTGATTTCCCATCCTTCGTACAGTCAACATCCTTGGACCGGGTATATACCCGTAGATCAGCAACTACTTATCCTGCGACATCAGTCAAGTCAACTACTTCTACTACGACATCAAGAGTGCAAGCATCCTTCGTACAGTCAACATCCTTGGACCGGGTATACGCCCGACATCAGTCAAGTCAATCACCAAGGATCAGTTCAAGTCAGTACAAGTCAGTCTTCACCAAGGATCAGTTCAAGTCAGTACAAGTCAGTCGTCACCAAGGATCCACTCAAGTCAGTCGAATACAGTCAGTCGACACAACATATCTTCATACGCGACAACACGAACAGAGTCTCAGATCGTACTCATTCGTCGTCAGTTTATATGAACCATTTAATTGTATTACACCGAAGTTGTTGGAGTGTGCAAATATATATGTCGGAGATGAAAGAACACCGGAGCCTTTGGAATTTTGGATAATCCCGCAACATTGTAACCTAGAGTCTACTATAGCTGTAATTGAACAATTGTAGTTATTCAATCCGATTGTAATTGTTCGAGAGTTGTGATAATGAGCTTGGGCTCGAGGCGACAGTCAGTCGCCGAACGTAGCCGCGGTCATGGGATGAACGCTTTGTCTAACAAAGGTATGGAGTAATTCTATAGCTCTCCTTAAAAGAAACATTCGTGGCGACACGCGACAGTAAACATTCCAACGATTTCTGTCCCGTGGCTC